TAAATGAAACTAAACATATACTACAAAATCTAGCCAATGTGGTATTTTATTTCTCCTCAACAATTTGCCATTGCCAAGGCACTGCTCCATCATGGTTGCAATATTCATCTCTTTTTGAAAATGCTGATCTGTTCGGAAGTCTATCAAGTGTTCTATCGGCAATGTTTGTAAGACCAGAACTGCTGATTTGCCGCCAAGTTCTCGGAATTACACTGTAGTTTTCGTCCACAGAATCGATTATGCTAGCTGGCACATAATAATTATCAGTTTTTCAAAGCCAGTTATGTATTGAGCAGCAGGTTCTTACAATTTTATTAACTTTTTGTGAATCTACGGCAATTGGCTTTTGAAACATTCTAAATTTTGATGCTAGTATACCAAATCCATTTTCAGAAATACATTTTACTCTGGCCAGCCTATAATTGAAAATATGTTCAGCTCTGGATAAATTTCGTTTACTGGTTTGAGTAGAGATGTTGTTAAAGGAAATGCATCATCAGCGACAATAACTGCATTTGGAGGTATATTCAGTATATTTGCCTCCATAGTCTCATTGAGGCTACAGTTTCGTCACACACTCCATCTGATGCTCTGCCTTTGGCTCCTATATCCATATATGTGAAACAATAATTATGATCAACTAAGGTACCCAGTTTTAGACGGTGCTTTTATAACTATATGCTTATCATATAGTGCCCCAATGCAATGTGGGGCACTAAAAACATATTAATGTATATATTTATAATCAGAAAAATGATAAATTACAAAAAGATGTGCTATTTTATAAATTGAGGTTGTAAATCCTATATAAGTTTTTCTTGTTATTAGGATATTATTACTGTATCAGTAAATGAAAAGCCAGCTTCACCTGAAGATAATGCAATAGCATCCCAACAATTGAATCAACATCTAAAGAAACGCAATGCCAAAACGACTCTTTAAAAAGAAAGTTTCAGCAAACTACTACAACATCTCGTAAAAAGAAGCTATGTTCGATACCTGCTGGAAATGATATTAATTCTGCGATAAATAAACTAGATGATATAGCTTAAGTTAGCTATAAACTAGCTGCAGAAGATATACAAGATGATTTGATCTCTGAGTTAACTTTGGCCATGCGCAATTAGCAAATGTATACTTGTTTTAGGAAATATATTTTTTGCAAACCGGTGAAAAATGTGCCCCCCTTGAGCCTACGAAAAGTATAGGAGAATTTAGATGAAAGTCTAGTTGTCATACCAATAATAACAATACCGTTATTAATTAAATAACGTTTTTACTTACCTTGATAAATTCTTTTAGAGCATCACACACTGCATCCAAAACTTCTTCTATAAATTTACTTATCGATGATTTGGGGACTCTAAATAAATATTCTAACCTTTTAAAAACTCTCCAGTAGCTAAATATTGAAGTATTATTTGCAGTTATAATTTGGCCGATAGAGCTTCTCTCATGTTAGTAGATATTTTTTGAAGTTTGAGGCTAACGAGTTCCAATAAATAACGAAAATGGTGTTCCGACATTCTAAGCAAATTTTTATAATCTTAAGGGTACTTGGAGTTGTCTTTCATTAAATTAGTAGAATCCATTTACTTGTCCACCATCGTCTTTTGTTTTGTTTTCTTGACAAATTTTGTGAAATCCTGTCTGCTATACACCACACAAAACTTGACATGCTTTTGCCACCAAACACTACATATGCGCGACTGAAGCAAATACCTACCGGGTAAACACTTTTCACGAAAAAATCGTGAAATTATTAGATTCGTGTTACAACGAGGGCGCCTCTTGTTCGTGATTCACAACCTAAGTCAACGCGGCTTAATGCTTTATATTTATATCAAGGACGGTAGAAGGTCTAAGAGAATTGCTATATCCCGGAAATAGGTGCACAGCTCGAAGGTCCGTTTGTGATGTCACGAATAAACACTAGAACTAACACTAGACCTAGAACTTGAAACATTCGTGTTTAGTAGTGATGGAATGGATAGTGATTTTGCGAAAAGCCGGATACCGGATATTTGGCATCCCTTTCAGCCGGATGTCCGGTTATTCGGCATATCCCTACATTGAAGTGATACCCTACATTGCCATATTATTGCGATATTTGACTAAAAATGAAATTGATAAGAAAGCTGATAAGATATGTTAACTTATTTGGATCCAAGATACAAAATGAACTTTTTTAATGCTGATTTAACTAACGAAGCAACTCTAAAAAGAGGACACTGTAAGGATCCTTCAAGAAATGAATTTTATAGCGAATTTTGAAAGTTATCGATGAAAATTGCAACATCGACAATTTTATCAAAACTTCAAATATTGGTTTCTCAAAAACTAAAAGTTATTTTTCAAAACGGGTTGGTTCATTGGAAAGACGATACTTTTATTAACATTTTGGGAAATTTTCATACTCATATTCCAAGAAATCGATTTTATACGAATTATTAAAATTTAATCGGCGAAAATTGTAAAATTCGAAAAAATTTTCGATTATTTCAAAAATTTATTTCTCAAGAACTAAAAGTGATTTTTCAAAACGGCTTTTTGCATTACAAAGAGGATACTTTAATTAATAATTGGTGATATTTCCACAAGGTGCTTCAAGAAATTAATTTTATAGCGAATTTTGAAAATTATCGATAAAAATTGCAACATCGAAAATATTACCAAAACTTGAAATATTGTTTTCTCAAAAACTAAAAGTTATTTTTCAAATCGTGTTGGTTCATTGCAAAGAGGACACTCTTATTAACACTTTGGGAAATTTTCAAAGTCATATTCCAAGAAATGGATTTTATACGAATTTTTAAAACTTAATCGGCGAAAATTGCAAAATTCGAAAAAATTATCGATCATTTCAAACATTTTTTTCTCAAAAACAAAGCGATTTTTCAAAATGGTTTGTTGCATTAAAAAGATGATACTTTAATTACTAATTAGTGATATTTCCACAAGGATCCTTAACGGAATTAATTTTATAGCGAATTTTGTAAGTCATCGATGAAAATTGCAACATCGACAATTTTATCAAAAGTTCAAATATTGTTTTCTCAAAAACTAAAATTTATTTTTTAAAACGTGTTGGTTCATTGGAAAGAGCACGCTTTTATTAACATTTTGGGAAATTTTCATACTCATATTCCAAGATATCGATTTTATACGAATTATTAAAATTTAATCGGCGAAAATTGCAAAATTCGAAGAAATTGTCGATTATTTCAAAAATTTATTTCTCAAGAACTAAAAGTGATTTTTCAAAACGGCTTTTTGCATTAAAAAGAGGATACTTTAATTAATAATTGGTGACATTTCCACAAGGATGCTTAAAAAAATTAATTTTATAGTGAATTTTAAAAATTATCGATGAAACTTGCAACATCGAAAATGTTTTCAAAACTTCAAATAAAGTTTTCTCAAAAACTAAAAGTTATTTTTCAAAACGTGTTGATTCATTGGAAAGAGGACACTCTTATTAACACATTGGGAAGTTTTCAAATTCATATTCTAAGAAATGGATTTTATACGAATTATTAAAATTTAATCGGCGAAAATTGCAAAATTGGACGAAATTATCGATCATTTCAAACATTTTTTTCTCAAAAACTAAAAGCGATTTTTCAAAATGGTTTGTTGCATTAAAAAGAGGATACTTTAATTACTAATAAGTGATATTTTCACAAGGATCCTTACCGGAATTAATTTTATAGCGAATTTTGCAAGTCATCGATGAAAATTGCAACATCGACAATTTTATCAAAACTTCAAATATTGTTTTCTCAAAAACTAAAAGTTATTTTTCAAAACGTGTTGGTTCATTGGAAAGAGGACACTTTTATTAACACTTTGGGAAATTTTCATACTCATATTCCAAGAAATGGATTTTATACGAATTTTTAAAACTTAATCGGCGAAAATTGCAAAATTCGAAAAAATTGTCGATCATTTCAAAAATTTATTTCTCAAGAACTAAAAGTGATTTTTCAAAACGGCTTGTTGCATTAAAAAGAGGATACTTTAATTAATAATTGGTGATATTTCCACAAGGATCCTTCAAGAAATTAATTTTATAGCGAATTTTGAAAGTTATCGATGAAAATTGCAACATCGAAAATTTTATCAAAACTTCAAATATTGTTTTCTCAAAACCTAAAAGTTATTTTTCAAAACGTGTTGATTCATTGGAAAGAGGACACTCTTATTAACACATTAGGAAGTTTCCAAACTCATATTCTAAGAAATGGATTTTATACAAATTTTTAAACTTAATCGGCGAAAATTGGAAAATTCGAAAAAATTATCGATTTCAAAAATTTTTTTCTCAAGAACTTAAAGTGATTTTTCAAAACGGCTTTTTGCATTAAAAAGAGGATACTTTAATTAATAATCGAAAGTGATAACAGCGACAGTTCTGTTAGTAATGAATGTGATGATGAATTACAAGCGAAGAGAAGAAGCTACAACAAGAGATTTTATATATCGTATTGGGATTGTTACTATGAGGTTGCTAATGACAAACCTGATATAAATAATATTGTATTCAATGAAAAAAGTCCTATTGGGGTTGAACTTCATTATTATCTGCAATGTCCAACACCTAAAAGCGATACTAATTCCTGTGAATGGTAGAGTACTAATTGTAAGTAATAAATTTTTAATCGGTAACTATCGGGTATCCGGGCGGATTTTAAAAAATGGCCGGATAGGCCGGATACTGGGTTGATGCCGGATATCCGTTCCACTACTAAGTAGTGTTTAGCCGTGCGTCTCTTAAGACGGCTAAACGAGAATGTTTCTAGTTCTAGGTCTAGTTTTAGTTTAGTGAAAAATATACAACAATCTAGCGTTGAATAACAATTAAAACTAGAACTACCGTCCTTGATTTCTACATCCTATAGACAACTCGGGGAATACCCGGAGTTTATCTATGAATATGGCGAATAATGCGAATCTCGTATTTAAATAAATCAGAAGATTGTTTATGTAAGGTTTTTTACCTAAAATAAATGCGAGTGGATAAACTCCAGCTGTTCCAAAGGCATTTGCAAAAAGTAGAATTAAAAAAAATGGATAATTTGGTGATATACTTTGTAAAACACCGGTTACGCTCATAAAAATAATACAAAAAATAAATATCAGTTTTCGTCCAAATCTAAAAATAAGAATATAAAATCCAACCTGCGTGTTTACAAAATAAAATACTTGTCGGCTAAAAATCCAAAAACGGCACTTCCTATGAGTATTCCTAAAAAATGCGCGCCACCCGCCAGTGAAAGTTTCCATTCATTTTCCAAGCAAGTGATTCCGAACTGAGTCAGCCCAAAATTGCGGAGATTAAAATTTTTGCGCCTGAATAGGCAAGAATGCTTACGTCGTTCACAACAGTCCGCTCGTTATCAAAGACCCACTTATCGCATTTTTCAACAAGATTCCGAAGAAAAGCTTGCTCCACACAAGTATCATTAGGAAACGTTCCATTTAATTCAAAACGGGTACATTGTGTGGGTACATATTTGTCACTTGGATTATCTATTGAATTCGGTATCGCCATTTGAAGAAAATCCGCTTTGTATTCTGCCGTTGAAGCATCTTCACAATTCGGTATCAAACACCTAATAATACAATTAAATAAAATAAAATTTATTAAATCAATTAATTTTTGAAAGTGACGTTTAAACGTCAAAATTGTCATTTAAAAGTCAAATAAATTCTTACCTGTAATTAGGAATTCCAGCCACAAAAACATAAGTTAAACTATTCGCTGCCGAAAATATAATAGGAAGACAAATAAGTAAATAAATTTTTATTTGATATGCCCCCATCTCCCCCAATTCTAACAAAATATCGTCAAAATCCATCACAACTTTTTGTTTTTCATAAAAATAAATTAACAAACTTTTCTAATTTTTAATTTAGGTTATCAATGACTTTGATAGAACCGCACGACGTTTCTATCTCAAGTTACCAGACGGTTTGACCAAGTCTCGACTAGGATCGGGTTCATGTTTTATTTTTTTCGAAACACTCAACAATAGGCCTTGAGAAACAGCAAAATATTACTAATTTTTATCGTCACGATGGGAATATCAGTGGTGATGAATTACTAATTTTTATCGTCGCGTTAGAAATAACAAAGTGAGGAAACCATTTTTTGTGGCAATTCCGCGATTACCGTAACAAGCCTGCGTGAAATCACTATTCGAATAGATCCGAATGCAAATAATCGAAAAAGGGGGGGAAATCACGTGTAAATATCCCATAAAGGTCAAAGTTAAAACAAATCGAGAGATGTTTTGCACAATGCACCTTTTCGAGTCAACGCACTGCCACGTACTGATTAAAAGTGATAAATTTAGAGGCACAACTTACATTTAGATTTTAAAAAGGAGGCCAAGATTTATTATTAGAAGACAAATAGTAGTGAACCAAATTATTGATTTTTTTAAATGTTGACCTATTTTCCTCCACAGGAAATAAAGAAAACTATAATGATGGTTTTAATGTTGCAAAAACTGGGATTTCCAAAGAATAATTAAGTTTTAAAGAGACGTATCGTGATTCTAACTAGTATTTATCTTTTTAAACGCTGGAAAATAAAGATTTTAAAATTCCCGAGAAATTTAAAATACCAAAATATGCGTGTTTCTTTTAATAACCTTTATACATTGTGTACAAATATTTCATGAGTTTATCAATGCCTAAAAATTAATTGCACCAAAACATCTCAATAAACCATTTAAAACGATATATCTTATCTAAAAAGATTATATTTTAAATTGTAAGCTTAAATTAAATTTTAAATCTTAAACTTTACTTGTATAAATAATAAGAATCAACTCACTTCACTCAATTTGATTAATTAAAACGATTAAGTCACAATTAAGATTACTTAAGTCTCGGCATGAATCATATTAAGATAACAAACAAATACGATTTTTATTTCAAAAATATGTAATAAAAAAAAGATTACTCGCAACGTAATTTAACACCTTCATAAACAGCTCTGAGCCAAATACCAACGGCGTGAGCCCCCGGATCTGGATAACTTCGAGGTTCAATTTTAGTTCTTTGAGCGGTTTCTTCCGCAGAGGCTACGGCCATACCAAAAGCTTCCACATCACTCATATTGGAATTTAGACTTTCTTCCATTACTCGAGCACAAGTACATAATGGATCTATTAGTGTCATATCACCTTCTTTACTGTGTGTGTACCTATAAATAAATGAAAATAATGATTATTTTCCTTTCTATAAAAATATTAAATACAGGGTGAACAAGAATGTGTAAAAAAGTATTTTATTTCTTTCATAATAAGATTTTTAAATGATTACTTTCTTTCAATTTAGAGGTTAAAAATAACATTTTAAACATCAGATTGTTTTCTTAATTAATATGACGTTTGAAACGTCAAAGTATCATTTTCAATGCTAAAATCTGATCAACGATAAAATGACTGTTGCGAAAAATTTTAATTAGGGGAAGCAAGATTATAAACAATAAAAGTACGTTAATAATATTAGAAGATGTTTAAAATATTAATAAACCCTTATTACGTCAAAATTGACATGATCTAATGGTAACAAATTTTAAAAAACGTTAAACTGAAAAAAATTAGTTTAAAAAAAAATTAAAAATTAATAATGTCAAAAATGGTATTCATTAGACAAATTAGAATTAGTAACTCATTATGATTGATAGAATTGAACGATAACTGTCATTTAAAACATTGACGTTTATAACGTCAAAAATAATATAATAAACTTCGAAATGAATAAATAAACCTAGATATACTTTAAAATATATTTAATTAAGTGGGTTGTTATTGAAGTTAAATACTTTTTCATACATTTTTACATCACCCTGTACATCAAAGTTAATAAAACGTATTGTACCAAGTTGACCAAAGATTTAAACACGACTTAAAGAAAAAGAAAAAGGAATGAAATATTTTAATTTATTCAGAATACATATTATACAGGGTGATTCACATAAGAACCGACACAGAACAGGGACATGTAGAGGACAATAAATTAAGACGATTTAACACAACTTATCTCTACACTAAGTTGTACCCCTGAGGAGTTATAAGCCTTCAAAGTTGGGTCTTAAATTTTTAAAACATCGAATATCTTCGTAATACATTAAGTTAGAAAAACCAAATTTGATATACGTTATGAGTGTACCGAGGGTATTAATTGGTAACAAGTTGAGACCAATTAACGCATTTGAAAGGGTTGATTACGGGTGATGCTCCCCTAAATTTTGACAGATTTTTTTAACCTTTTGGTGGATTTAACACATTATTACCTGATTTCATGTGGAATTTAATTCTAAAACTTTTTTTACTCTTATTATTTTTTAAAAAACATTGTCGTTTTCATAAAAAACTCAAATAACTAAAGACACGAATTTCGTTAATGCTACTTGAAATCATCGAAAATTCAGTAGTCGGTTGTAAAATTGTACGTCAAACTTGACAAATAGGTTATAAAACCTTGTCGTCAAATAACTTTATAACCTATTTGTCAAGTTTGACGTACAATTTCATAGCCGACTACTGAATTTTCGCTTATTTTAAGCAACATTACGAAATACGTGGGTTTAGTTATTTAAGTTTTCTATTGGAATTTCATGTGGAATTAAATTCCACATGAAATGAAGTAGTAATGTATTAAATTGACCAAAGGATTAAAAAAGTCTGTCCAAATTTAGGGTACCATCACCTTTAATCAACCCTTTGAAATGCTTCAATTGAGTTCAATTTGCTACCAATTAATACCCTTGGTACACTCATAACGTATACCAAATTTGGTTTTTCTAGCTTAATGTATTACGAAGATATTGACCTTTTTAAAAATTTATGAGCCAACTTTGAAGGTCTATAACTCCTCAGGTGTACAACTTAGTATAGAGGTAAGTTACATTAAATCATCTTAATTTATTGTCCTCTACATGTCCCTGCTCTGTGTCGGTTCTTATGTGAATCACCCTGTATATTTGCTCACAAAATTGAGCATAGGGGGGAATGGAAGATAGATAATTGTGAATACATATTTCAAATAGTTATTAATTTATTTTAAAGTTTCTGATATATACAGGGTGTTTCCGTAAGTCGCGGCATAATTTTAATCACAAATACTAGAGTCAAAATGATGACGATACCCATAAATGGCTAAGATATAGGCCTTCAAGATTAAGAAATTTTTAAACATTTTCTTAAATATTTTCAGTATGGTTTGTCTTAGAAAGACTAAATTTGACAAACACTGCAATGTTATCATAAGAAATCGTTTAAGATCACTATTGGAAATATCGAACCACGTGATCAATGCTATACAGAATGTTCACAAAGGTTATTTCTTTAATAATTATATTATGTCATAAACCTTTAAATTTTCCAACTGATAGAAAAACATTTCTAAATATCGAAAGATATTTACGTGAGACAGGAAATTTAATAATAATAATAATAAACTGCCTTTATTTCCAGAGTAAAGAGAACAACAATAATAATAGTAATAGTAACTATAGTTACTATAATGCAAAATAAAGATAAACAAAATAGAAAAATAACTTAAATACAAAACAGGTGGAAATCCTAAGGCGAAGTTCAGAATGCGACCATAATATGGCCCGCTTCTGCTCTTCCACTTAACCTTAAAATAATTGCACTTTCATTCAATCGTAGTACACGCCTACTCCTAAAAACTAAAACTATTAATTGATTCTGCATTATAATCTTCATTTCACTTATAATCTAACTTATATATGAGCTAATAAAATAAAAAATAATATAATGAAATAAAACAAACACAAATTATTCCACTTGCATTAAAATTAGATTGATCCACTACAAAGCAAACAAGAAGTCACTGTCGCTCAAATAAATGCCTAAACAATAACGTTCTGAAAGCACCCTTCTTTTTGGCCCTAATGGTGACGGGGATAGAATTATACAGCTTATAGGCACAGTAGCTAAACGCACGACAAAATAGAGCTGTACTATGAGCAGGCGAATTAACAACATTTTTATTTCTAATATTTATACTGTGTAGATCTCCTCTAAACTGAATCTTTTTTACTCAAATAATTAGGCGAGCCAGTTGTGACAACCTTGTGATACAGCACTGAAGCCTGTAGAGTAACGATTGTGAATATTCAGCCAAGTTAACTCTTTAAGCTTATGAAAGACTTTTTCAAATTTTTTAATTTTGAATATATATCTCATACAAGCGTTCTGCACTCTTTGCACTCTCAATCTATCCATGGAATCCAAACATGGATAGTAGACAGGAATACAATAATTAAGCAAAGACAGTACAAAACATTCACAAAGCATCTTCTTCATTTTTAAATTAAAAATATCTTTGAAAGAGTAGAGTAATTTTAATTTCAAAAAACAAACACTTAATGTTTTAGTAATGTGCTGTTTGTACCTAAAGGCATTATCAACAACTAGCCCAAGATTCCTTGCCTGATCAACAATAGGTATATTGCAACTGTTCAACCTAAGAATCAGATTAGCTTTCAATTCCTCGACTTTCACATTTCTGCCAAACAGAATAAAAACACTTTTATTAGGGTTTAATATCAAGGCTTGATTCTTTGCAAATTCACTGACATTCGCTAAGTCCTTATTAATTTTCCATGCTGCCCCCTCATATTCACGAAACGGAAAGTTATAGTATAGCTGAGTGTCGTCAGCATACATATGAATTTTACAATAATTGACAGCTTTTGGAAGCATAGATTGTATAAACAAAACAACAAAGGACCTAACACCGACAGAAGTATGTAAATAACGGTAATCAGAGGTCAGTTCGTACACCCAAACTAGAAGAAAACATTTTGGATTTTGTTGCAGATCGTAATACTCCTAGTACTGTTGATAGCAACAATTTAGACATTTCAGAATGTCCATAGGCATATCTTGGCATGTCCTACATGAACAGCAATTGTATCCATCCATTTGTCGAGAGTACAAAAATTAAAAATTGCTGATTATTCGTTGCAAGTATAGTGTTGCCATACTATGATGGAAAAATGTACTATTGATGCTGCCTGTTTAGAAAAAAGTACTTTTTATACAGTATGTCCCCGGATCGAGTTACAAAGAGGGAAAAAAACTTTATTATTAATTTTTTAAACTTATCTCAGCATAAATAATGCGTCGGATATGTTCAAACCATTAAATCGCACAAATTGTATACTCTAACTATCGAAGTTAAATAATTATTCTCATTTTTATGTAAAAATTGGACTTTTTTCTAAATTGAAAATTTTTCAAGTTCAATTTATGATATGTAACCATAAAAACCATAAAGAAGCAGAAAAAGAGACTAAAAGAGGAAGACGCTGCTTCTCTAATAGCATTAAATTCCGTTCAACAATCTCCAAAATTTACACTTCGAAGAAGTGTGTTACAACTGAAATTAGTAAATCGCACCTCTCCGGAATTTACAAAGAAAACAAAATTAAACCATTTAGACCACGATTTAGACCGACTTTGGATGCCGGCGATGATGCCAAGCGTTTGGATTTCTGTCTTGAGGTTGGTAATGCAATATTAGATAATCAAAATTTTCATAAATTTATTGTATTTTCGGATGAAAGCACCTTTTCAACAAATGGCATTATTTCTCCCCAGATTGCTGTTATTGGAGTGATGTAAATCCAAATTTTACACTCATTAGACTAAGTGAACATTTCAAAAAAGTAAGTGTGTGGTGTATTGTAACATATCATGGGGTAATTAGGCCATATTTGTTCGATGGAAATGTAAATCAACAGAAATATTTGCATATGTTACAATATTATTTTAATGAACAACTGTAATAGTATATTAAAAAACAAGTTTCGTAAGACACGTTTGAAATGCATGAATACAAGTTGAAAAACGAGTGGCGAAGCCACGAGTTTTTTAATGAATGAGTGCTTTAAGTCTTATGAAACGTGTTTTTATGCTATTTTTTGTAATTCGCGTTTTTATCCTTTTTTTTTCTCAAAAATAAAATAAATTTTGACAATGTAGGAAAATAGGTATGTAGCAGTTGGTAACACCGTAACACTTGAAAATAGAAATTTGAATTGACAAATAGAAACTGTCAAAACACAAACGTATTCACGTGATAAAAATGTTTGATGTACACCTCCCAAAATAAGAGAAATTGCTCAGAGTTTAATGTCCTTATCATTGTGAACCTTGTATTCAA